TTGTTTGGATGGAACAAAGGCTCGGGCTAATATTTATATTGGAGTCGAAATTTATATTGAAATTCAAACTCAAATTGAAATTTAAATTCAAACTCCAATTATATGTGAAATGAATTTGAAATGCAATGTTAAATTGAACATGTAAATTGCATAATTGATTCATACTATTCAAGTAACATGCTTTATGAACCATCAAGCTAAAAGATAATATTGATTGAGTTCAAAACTGAGTTGTGAGTTGATGGGGTTGTCACACTTATCACATGGTGGGAATAAAGTACTCACATGTAAGAGATAGATTGTTTTGTTATGCACAGCCCATCCCATCTGAATGAAAATATACATACAATATAATCAAACCAAAACATACATACACAACAAATTTATACATAACAATGTTCAAATAATGTACCCACAACAACGAAATTAATCCATTGAAAAAGGGTTATTTCTAACGAAGTCCGAAACATTATTTTCCAAATAATGTACCCATAACAATGTTCAAATAATGTGCCCACAACAATGATTAATTGATTTATTGTTTAATTTTCAATCTGCATTATGTTGAAGGTAAAAAAGACCTGTTGAAGGTACACTTTCGCAACGCAAAAGTCAAATTTGCGTTGCAATTTTCTCGTTTCGATTGTTGCGATAGTCAAATTCGCAACGCGAAAGTAAAATTCACATTACGATTTTCACGTTGCGATTGTTGCGAAAGTCAAATTCAAGTTACTAATGCATGTCTAACTGAAAATGTATGCATTCACACATAAAATACACATAATACAACGTTTGCATTTAAAAATCACCTAAGTTAATAAGTCCCAAAAGGTAGGGCTGAGCAAGGAAACCGAGAAAATTGAAAAACCGACACGAACCGAGTAAAACGGTTCGGTTCGGTTCGGTTTGGCTTTAAACGGTTCGGTTTTCGGTTCGGTTTAAAGGCTTCATTTTTTTTGAGTCGGTTCGGTTCAGGTTTTTCATATGGAACCCATTTGTTCCATATTGAACCGAATAGGCAATTTTTGTAAAAAAAATTATAGTTTCAAGTGATTTTTTTATTGAAAAACCGATAAACCGAACCGAACTGAACCGAAAAACCCGAACCGTTAAAAAACTGAACCGAATCGAAAAAACCGGTTTTGGTTTTTTCGGTTTTTTAACTATTCGGTTTCGGTTTAAATATTGAAAACCCGTTTATTTCGGTTCGGTTCAATTTTTGGTAAAAAACTGAACCGAACCGAATACACCCCTACCAAAAGGTGAAGCCGGTTGTGATTGAGATTTTGATTGCGATTTTGATTTCCTTTTTCTTGGCACCATATGAGCTTTGGATTTTGATGAGGATCCATATTTTGGTAGAGGAAAAGATGATTGTGATGGCACTGGTGATCCACATGTCAACCTGGTATGACCAGTTTCCTTGCACCGACTACATGTTGATATCCTCTTCTCTTCACCCTTAGACGGTATACGATCGTGATTTTTTGGTCGGCCGGGTAGCTTGTTGTCTATGACTGGTGGAAAAACTGTTTGTAAGTCATCTGGTATGTCCCACTCAGAAGGATGTGGAATAGGGTAGACAATCTCGACATAAGTCTGTCGATATACTTATGTAGTGTAGCAATCCATAGCGTATACGCTTGAATCATCTTGGTTTAGATGAAGAGCAACTTTTATAAGATGGCCACACAGTAACCAGATGTTTGCCATTTCATACAACTACACGTCTTTGCATTTAGATCGACAAGCACATTTAAGTTATTATCAAATACTTCAAACAAAGTGTTTGAACATGGTTCAACTCTCCATGACGTTGACTTCACAACACGTTTCGTTATCTTTTTTTAGTCCATGGTGTAACACGACGTTCCAATGTTCTTGTAAATTTAAATAAATAATACTTAGTAAAATATATATTAAATATGATAAGTTATGAATTTAAAGAAATAATACATGCATGGTTTCTTTTCTTGTAGTACCACTGTTGAATAGAGGCTCGAAAAAACTCCATTAACATAGTAATGGGTAATTTTCGGGAATGATGACTTAGAGCGTTGATTGATTCTACACTATTAGACGTCATGAAACTATATCTTGCTCCAAGTTGATGTACTCTTGACCATCTTTCAAACCCTACATCTTCTAGTGTTTGAGCACATTGAGGCAAAACACGTCTTAAACAATTTATATGCTTATTAAAATCCACTTCCCAATAAGCTTTTACAGCCTTCCAGTATGTCCATTTGTGATATTTTATAACAGCAGACCTTGATTTTAGATTTCTGTACAAATGAACACCACAAAGTCCATGAAAAGCATCTGTGAAACACCTTCTAACATCATTGTCAATTGAGTTTACCCTATCGAATATGATTGTCAGATTGCTAATAAGACCTATGCAATCCCTAAGATACCCCATAAACCATGAATATGAACATGAGGTATCAGATTTGCCAACCCCGTAAGCTATTGGCAGTATCCTATTGTTAGCATCCATGGCTACTGCTAATAAGTTTACTCCAAGGTATCGACCTTTCAAATGTGCTCCGTCAACTATAATAACTGGGCGCATGCAAGTAATAAACGAACGAATCTACAAAATAATATACACAAGAAATATAATCATTTAAATGTGAAATGCATGTAACTAACAAAAATGAGTCAACAAAATTATATTGATTTACTAACCGTAGAACCAATGGCGATAAACAACAACTCAAAGCGTCCATCTCTATCTGTTTTGATATGAGTTACCGACCCAGGATTTTTAAGCTTTAAATTGTGACAATAAGCCGACAGTTTGGCAAATGATGCTTCTAGCGACCCCCTCAACAATTCCAATGCATAACATTTGGCTCTCAAAGCTTGAGAATATGAGATACTAATCTTGAACCGAGCATTCATGTCAGTCATAATTTCATATCCCCGATATACCCTGTCATTCAAAAACATTAACTCAGCCAGAAAACCACCCAACACCTTTTTGTTTGCCTGTCTATGGTGAGGAAAAACTTGGGTTCTTGAACATGTATGTTTATTAATAAAAGTCCTAAATTGAAACATTTCGCAATCTTTTATCCTCTTTGCAATCATATGCCACGTACAGTTTTTGTCAATCATACACCTTGTTTCGAAACGATCTTTGCTTGATTTGTTAACTTTTAGTTGATATTCATCTTCCACACATTTCGTATACAAAGCTATCTTCAAGTCTTCCTTTGTATCAAAACAATCATCTTTCTTGATACGAATAACTTTTGTGTAACAATCAACTGCTATCTTTACCAACTCTTCTTCCGGTATCTGAAGTAATTCTGGCATATTCCAGTTATACTCCCGTGGCAATTTCTTCTTTTTCTTTTCTTCGGGGACTTCTTTTTCTTCTTCTTTTTCTTCTTCAGGGTTATATAAATTACAGAATGGATGTCCAATATGTTCATTCACAGTCGTAACTTCCTCCTCATTATCATTAATAACATCTTCCTCGGCAGCGGTTGTTTCATCATCAAAATTCGGGTATTGACCAATATCAAAATCATTACACGCATGGTATGTTTCTTCTTCTGAAACATCATCAAAATCCGAGTATTGACCAAGATCAAAGTCCGGGTATTGACCAAGATCAAATTTCGAATACTGACTAGTATTCATAATTTTTTCTGTTGGCTCATCATCGTCTAACTGGTCAATACGAAAAACAAAATTTGGTGCTGAAAGTTGATTGAGATTTGAATTAGGAAAAAGGTTGTGGGTTTTGAGATTGTGTTTGGTATTGGAAATGTGATGAAACAAAATTTTCTTGGTGATGAAATTGTGGTGGAACCATTAAATTTTGAGGTTGATAATAATGTTGTACATTGTGAGCACCATAAACTGGGGTTGAAGAACTTAGTTGATTACTACCCACTACTGACCCAACTTCACTACTTCTAGGTTCAACAACATACAATGTAACATCATCCTCTTGCGAGACACTAATGTAAGCAATGAATCGTTCAACATCTTCATTGTCGGTTAACAAATAAACTTTACCTTTTCTCTGATAAGATAGCCTAAATCCACTTAGAGGCTCTAAATTCAATTTCTTTGCAACACGTAATATTAGAGTTTCATAAGTTAACTTTTTTAATGACAGTTTTAGTTGAAGATTCACGGGTAAAGGCATATATCGTAAAACACCATGAACATTCTCCCATGACCCTCCAAAACATAAATCTATCCAAACATGATCAACATTAGATGATTTCATTCTACAAATTGTAAATTAATTTACTAAACAAACGAGCTATAAACTACATATCATCACTAACTTAGAGAAGAACATACCTTTATTAAGTTGATAGTTGATAATTTGGGAGAAAAATCATTGAAAAATTATATAGAAATAAAATTATAAAAAAAATTAGAGATGGGAAAGATGTCGTTGGATATAGGAATAGATGTCGCTGGAGAGAGTGATAGATGGAGATGGAATGAGTTGCGATTTAGGAATTTAGGTTATGAGTTGCTGTTGCTGCGTAGTTATATACAAAAAACATTTGTGTTGCGAAAATAAAACCTGTTGCAAAATTAAAATTCGTGTTGCGAATTCAAAAATCGAGTTGTGAATTCAGAAATCGAGTTGCGAATTTGAAATTCAGTGTTGCGAATTTGTAAATCGCAACGCGAATTTAAAAATCGCGTTTCGAATTTGGCTTCTGTGTTGCGATTTACAGATTCGCGTTGCGATTTACAGATTCGTGTTGCGATTTACAGATTCGCGTTACGAATTTGGAAAATCGCAACGCGAATTCATAAAATCGCAATGCGATTTACATATTCGCGTTGCGAATTTGGAAACTGAGTTGCGAAATTAGAGTTCGCGTTGCAAATTTGTTGGTCATTTTCGCAAATCCAAAAAAAGTTGGTTAAAATCGTATATTATAAGGCATTTTCGGTCACTGAAGTTATTTTCTCTTATAATAATACTTTATTTGCATTCTTGCTCTTTGTTACAAATGAGGGCATTACAAGCTCAAAAGCAAAGGATTATGAGATGCACATTCTTGAAGGTAATATAATATGTTGACAGTCTTTCAGACCTTTTCTTTTCCTCCGTTTCTGTCCCTTGAACTATCTGTACAATTTTTATCTTTGTTTATCAAAGCATCATCAACAACTATAACTGTTAGTTCCTTTTGTTAAAAGCAAGATATTTCGCCATATGCTCATGTTTCATGTGAGTGATAAGAAAATCTCATCTTATATGTGAATAGTTCATTAATGGCGTTTCTGGAAGACATCTTCCGAAGATGTCCGGGGCATTGTATTCTTATTCATTGGGAAAAAGAACAATCATAAAATCCGACATGTCTCAAGCTCTGCAACAATTGAGAAGATTTTACTCAGCAATTGAAAAGTACCACAATGAGGTATGTTTAGTATTGCATTTGCCTTTCTAGATTCTTTTGTCTGAAAATAACTATGTCACTCTTAGGGCTTTCACAAATCAAAACTGACACTCTTTCAACACCTCTTCTACTCTTCCTAAGCAATTTGATTATGAAGATTCTAAGATATAATGGCTTCAAGATTGCACCAACATGGGTTGGTTCAGTTGGTTGAGTGCTCAATTGCTCATTAGCACTTCGGTAATAACCCAGGCTTGAGCCTCACCAAAAACCTCATTTGGCTTAGCCGAACAAGAAAATGGCTTCAAGATTGCATTATCTCTTTCTATCACTAAATCAGTTATGATCCTTATTATGGAAACTGATCTAGAATCTTTTGGTCTTTCCCAAGTCCCAGCGTCAAAATGGAAGATTGGTGGGTTGACAGTAAAGAAGATCGAGTATTCATGGAATTTTTGTTCTCTCAACTCAGAAAAATATATCTTGAAGCACGAACTATGATAACAATCGTATGCTAACGTTAATCACTGAAGCCCTGAGAGAGAATGGTGAAGAATTCTCTTGCATTTCCAACTTTCCTTTGTGGGCAAGCATCTCTGTTGATCTATGGGAACATGAATTCTGCAATCTCAAGAAGTTAAATCAACCTGCATTTTGAATTTTATCAATATGTGTAATTTGTGCTGATCACAGTGGTTTATATGGTTTGCTGGGGAATACATATAAACAGGTTTCGGCTTACTAGGTAATGCGTATTTTGTCTATAGACAATACTGGTCAAGTCCAAAGAAGTATATCCCTTCTCTGGGAACCTTAGACTTTGAAATAAATAAATATTTTCTCTTGGGCTGTTTGCTTGCAGTTGCAAGGTTTCATCAAACAAGAAATGCAAGGAAATGAAGTTGCCGCAGCTTTTTTCAATATTGAACTGGTATTACTTCTGGTATGTTCTCGTATATCTGCTGCCTCCTGTACCATAAAATTTTCTTGAATAGCAGTTGTAATTCATTTTATGGTACTTCAGGCTTCTGCGTTCATCACCTTCCCTATACTGGGTGCTTGGATGCTGGTTCTATCATGGTTCAGCTAAGTCCAGCTAGTGGATTTACCCTGAAATAACGGGTATCATCCAAGCTGCTGCAGTTTGTTTGCTTTCTGTTGCATTTTGGTTTTGATTTTGTAGGATGAAAGAAGAGTGGGCACTGGGTTGGTTGCTGTATAAGCACTGGCTCATCGCATCAATGGTTGCCTATGATACATTTTTACACAGAAAATTGCAGGGTCCTGATGAATACATTACTATCAGTGTTCCACGGTCAGATCAATATACTATGATTCTTATTGACCCAAAGCTAGAATTGTCAGGGCTATGCAATTTGCATCGATTAGTAGCATTTAAAAGTAGGAAATCAATCATTCGATCGATTAGTAGCATGTTAGGATGTAGGTTAAAGCGTGCAGAGCATTGGACCTCCGCTTTAACCTTCATCCTATCACGCTCCACACGCTTACCGCCTGTCTACTCTCAACTCTTCAGCTCCACACAAATCCAATGCTTCCTCAACTGGGATTTCCCCCCAATTCTCTGCAATAAACCCAACTCCACCGGAAATGGGGATTCTCTCTTTTCCTCAAGATTGGGTCTTCATGGAGGTCCAAGTGCCCTTACAGCCAGCCCCCACCACCGATTTGGATGGAGGTGGGTGGGTGATGCCCAGAAGAGGGAGTATATTAGGAAGAGGCTGAGAACGAAATTCCTAGGAAGCGATGTCAATCCTTTGTTCCGATTTTGGTTTCCGATTTCTTCTTCTTCTCTCTTCTCTTGTTCAATCCATTTCCTCTTAAAGATGAGTGACAGATTTCGTTACTCAGTCGTGAAATAACCATCAGATTATTATGTTTTATTGCCTTTCTTGTTAACTTTGGATCATGTTTACTTTGGATGTGATTCTCCAGAGCACTGTTGTTTACCGTATAAAATCTGAATTATTGACATTAAAAATAACAGATTTAAAAGGGGCTTAAATTGAGGTGAGGCTCCGACTATTGATTAAAAGTGAAATTATTGGACGGTCCAGACTTAGCGTCATCTATGATTTCAATTAATAATATTTGTTTATATAATTTTTTTAAGATAAACCTTCATTAGAGGTCCATGGATAATCCGAATACGACTCTATCTTAGCTCCACGGATAATCCATTGATATGGATAGATATGGATGGAGGAAGCTTTCTCAAACCTTGGAATTGATTTATTTGCTGATTTTTTTGGTTATATTATAGAATATTTAGAATAATCGAAATTCTTTTCTTCACGGAGATAGGTTACAATCACCTTGGATATTAGTTACCAATACGAAGATTCTACGCCAAGATTTCTTGAAAGCAATTGCTAAGGAGAAGGTGAAACATTGTTCGAGCTTCAGGTGGTTGAGCGAGCGAACTCAGATATGGATTGTGCTTAACGGATAGCTCTTGTTGCGGGGTGATTAAGATAAATATCAATGACGCCTATGATGGCACTCGAAGAATGACAGTTGTTGGTGTTATAGCTTGTGATCGAAGTGGCCAAGTGTGTGGTAGATTTGCTCAATCATCTGTTGGTTGCTTTGTAGGTGGGTTTGCGGAGCTTCATGCATTGCTTGCCGGATTAAGGTTCGCCTGTGATATGGGATGGACGGTTGTTCGATTTGAAATTGACTCAATGAAACTTATTCACAAGATTACAAGAGATTCAGATGATATTTCAACTCTTGGTGTTATTGTGCAGGAAGTTTGGACGATTTTCCGGGACTATTCTCAGTTTCATGTTACTTATGCTATTCGTTCTTGTTATTATGTTGCTCATCAGTTAGCTAATTGGACCTTAGATCTGGTGGCTCTTTGTTCTTTGATTCGGTTTGTCCAGATATCATTGCTCATGACATTCAAAACGATGTACTTAATTTTGATTTATGGTAATTGAGTATTTTTCCCCTTATTAGGTTTAGGAGTTTTTAATGGGGCTCATTCATGGTTTTTGCTCACAAAAAAAAGATAAAGGTGAATCTTCACCTCTTTCTTATATGTAAATTAGAAGTGAGTACTCATTTGAAAGTTATTTTAAAATTTGTGACTCACATTCAGTGGGGTAACTGATGACATGGTGTGTCAGATCCATCAAATAAATTTTCTGTTACAACATCATAAAGCAGAAGTAGCAATGTAACAGAACCAAAAAAGAAAGAAAGAAAGTAGCAATGAAGGGTTATAATTCAATTTGCTTAAGCAAGAATTTACCATCCAACCCCAGGGCCAAGTAAAGTCCATGACCCACCTGTTTTATTCATTAATCATCAACTACAATATTGGGTAACGTCTAAGCATTCCTGCTCTTTAATGTGCCAACTTTCCACATGAGTTTTGTGGAGATATAAGCGACCAATCTCCAACTGCACCACCTGAAAATCATCTACCTTATATAATTTAGTAAATCTGCCCTCGACTTTACCACAACATCATTCAAATTTTAAATTTTAAAATCTACCTTATGTTGTTTCTACAGTTTCTACTTTACTACACTAACATTCACTTCACTTTCAAAAAAGATATCACTTGTAACTTTGGATTCTGCCTTTCCTTTTCTGTTTAACTCATATATTTTTTATGCTTTTTTTCTTCAAAATTTTGTAGGATTTGGTTCCCGGATCGATACAGTCCTTGGACGGCTGAAAGCTTCCCCAATCCCCACCGTTAATCAAGCTAATTGAGTCTAATTTTTTATTTTTTACAATACGGAGAAAAGAACACACAAGTTTGTCCCTTCTTCCTTCCTATATATGGGTATCTTCACAATTTCTCATCACACACAAGCTAACGCAAAGCATTAGCTGCTGCCATGTCTTCCTCACCAAAACTGTCTCTAAGCTCTTCCTCTTTGCCTTTTTTGTCGTAGACACTCATTTTCGTCCATATTTTTTTACATATATATCTATATATATATTATATAATTTGTAAATGGTTTTTGAATATATATATAATATAATTTTTAAAACATTTTGAAAACCTATATAATATATAGTTTTTAAAACATTTTTGAATATATATATATAATATATAGTTTTTAAAAATATTTTGAAAACTTATATAATATATAATTTTTAAAACATTTTGGAAAATATATATAATATATAGTTTTAAAATATTTTTTGAAAATATATTATATTATATGGTTTTAAAAAACATTTTTTAAATCATATATAAAATATAGTTTTAAAACATATTTTTTCCTTTTATTTATTTTTATCTTATTTTATTTATTATTTATTTGTTATTAATTATTAATAATTATTTTTTTCTTTTTTTCTCTTTCTCGTTTTAGGTCCATTTGGGGTTCAATCAATCCAGGAACATGGCTTGAACCAGCCCAGCGAGGGTCTAGGGTTTCACGTTCTTAGCAAGGCGTCGCGCAATGGATGGAGTCAAAGGGTCAGTCACGCGAAACGACCAAACATCGCCGGCCGAAGATCCCGGGATTGAACCATCCCGGTATTTCAGTAGCAACGTTCACAGCCCCGAACAAAACGAAACAACCCCGAGCATATTGGTTCACCGAGAGGGTTATAAATACCCCGATGAAACATCACACAGGAAACCACGAGTATCAAAACACGAACACAGTACATCGAGAATCATCAAGAACCAAGAACCAAAACACCGCCACAACAAGATAACCATCGAAGGGAAAAGCCAAACAAACTGTGAGTAACACAACCGACAACAATACATAACAAGGGAGCCACAAAACCACCTCAATAGTGGAGCATCATCATCACAACAAAACATGAGAAAACACAACAACAAGAAATGCCGTAAAAAATAGCCAACGCATGGAAAAAGGCATTGTGAGTCTCGGTTCGAAGAGGACAATCCATCGGAAGTCTAAAAGGTCGCCGGAAAAGAGTGAGGATCGAGCGGGTTTTTTTTTCCATATATACGCCTTCTGGGGTGTTTTTGTGAGATTTTAGGCTTGGATTCTTGTTCCCGGGGTAGAGAGGAACACTTGGGGAAAGTTTAGATTTTTCAAACCGGCGGCGGCAGCTACCAACGCGATGGCCAGCGCGACGGAGAGGCCACCAGGCGGTGGCCGACATTCGACTGGGGAGGGGAGAGTTTGAGAGAATTTGAGAGGTGAGAGAGTTATCATTTTGAGGGAAGGGTGAAAATGAATGAAAGATGGGTTTTTTGGGCTTTTAGACAACCCGTTGCCGCGCTTCGACCCAACCCGAGGGGAAGATTCGTGCGTTTTTTAGGTTTAAAGGGATAATTCCCTTTTTAGTCCTTCGTTCTTTGTAAGCATTTATTTTAGCCCCTTTATTCGAATTTAACCCCGATTTCACTTTTAATTTTATCCCCCAATTTTATTTTCTTTCAAATTAGTCCTTTTTTTATTTTCACATTTTCATTTATTTATTTACTTATTTATTTATTTTATTGTTAATTTTGTATATATGTTTTTTTTCAATTTATTTATGTTTTTCTCTAATTTTTTTTTGATTTATTATTTTATTATTTTTCTTATTATTTAATATTTATATATTGTTTTTCTGTCTAACATTTTCAACCTTTTCTAGAAGAATTTCAACCAATCGAAGGTAAGTAATTCGAATCTAATGTTTTAAATTTAAATTTTTGCTATAAAGACAACAGACAAATTAATTGGTGCCGAAAAGGCGGTTCAAGGGTGCTAATCATTCCTTGACCGTAACCGACTCCCGAAGCCGACACATTTCTGGTAAAACAAAGATAAGATAAGATGGTGTTCGATAAATCTAAAATAGTTTTTAAATGATCAGTGGCGACTCTAATTTGTTTTATTCAAGTTAAAGCCCAATTCTGGGCCCAACCGAAAAACGACCGCGACAGGTAAGTGAGTTAGGCCAGAATTAATTTTTCGATTCTCTTTTTTAAGCGAAAATGGTAAGTATAAATTTTAATTTAACTTTTCGATTTTTATTACTTATCTTTGAATGTTTTTCAAATAAATAGTTGTACTGATATTTTTTTCAATGATTTCAGATTTTCAAATTTTTTATCTCATGCTTTATACCCAAGCTCTAAACCCTTTTTAAGTGGAGTGAAAGCAACGCCTTCGTGGGAATTTATTCTCCG